GGTGAGCGGGGACTCCTCGTCCCTTGGTCCCTGGTCGATCTCCTGTTACGGGTCACCCCAAATTCAACGGAGTCTTTGTGTCCCCCCTCTCTAGGCCTTCCCCGTGTCCTGCCCTGGACCCTGCCGGGTCCTGCACTTTGGGCATAACAATCCCATGCAGCACTACAGGCGGGGGACCGTGTGGCTGGGGAGCAGCGAGGCAGACAAAAATAGATAGAATGCTGAACAGGAGCCAGCAGTGTGCTGAGGTGGCCAAGAAGGCCAATGGCATCCTGGCCTGGATCAGGAACAGCGTGGTCAGCAGGACAAGGGAGGTGATCTGAGCTCTGAATTCCACCATCTCCCCACTCTAAGTTGGTTATTTACACCTGGTTTTAAAGGCCTCAAGTTCCTTCTTTCCTACACTAGGATAGAAATGAAAGCTATTAATCCCATGGGCTCACTCTTACTCTGCTTAAGATGTCATTGTAGTGGTTTAAAGCAAACCCATTTCTGCCTCTGCCTGTCTGAGGTGCTGCTCTGCTCAGTCCACAGGTTGATCACCTACATCTTCATCTACGAAGACCTGATATCACTGACCTGTGGTGCTGTTATCATCTGGTACTTTGCTGGCAGCTTTGAGAAGAACGTGGGCACAGCAAAGCACTGCTGCCTCACCACAGCCTTTGCTGTGCTCTCTGCCCTCCTCTACCTCTTACTGGAGCCCCTTGTCTCCACGGTGTGGGAGGTGGGAGATGCCAAAGGATTCATGCCAGTAGCCTTTGCTACTCTGGGTGTATCCACCACGCGCTCACGGATGAGGAGGACTGTGGTGTTTGGGCTCAGAGTTCCCGTGGTGCTGGTGCCATGGTTTTTGCTCTGCATAGCTTGGTTTATCCCCCACTCTTCCATCTTGGTTAACCTGTGTGGGCTCCTGGTGGGGGAAGCCTGTATCCTTTCCAAGTGCAGGATTGCTGGTTCATGGTGGGAAGGATGTGCTGAGGTTCTCATTGGTGAGATACCCAGGGAGGTGGTGGAGTCACCATCCCTGGAGGGATTTAAGGAGAGACTGGACATGCCACATGGTCCCACGGTCTAGTTTACAAGGGGGTGTTAGGTCATAGGTTGGACTTGATCTCAGAGGTCTTTTCCAACCTGATTGATTCTGTGGTGGGATCACCATCTCTGAAGGTGTTCAAGAGGCATCTGGATCTGGTGCTGGGTGATATGGTTTAGGGCTTATAGTGCTGGTGGATGGTTGGACTTGATCTTAAAGGTCTCTTCCAACTTTGATGATTCTGTGCCCTGGCTTTGTGGTGCTTCCTGGGCTCTTGCTTTGCATTAAACCCTCACTGGCTTTGCTGATCCTCATCCCACCCAGTTCTGCATTGGTGTTTCACCTCATACTGCCACTTCCCCAATGGCTTTGGTGCGCACAGAGAATGTGGAGCTGAGAAGGGCAACGTTCTGGGAAGGTGGTGCTGGGTAAAACTGGGTGAATACTTCAGGGGAAGTGGTTTGTGGGCAGAGGGGGATAGTGTGTGGCTGTGTTGGAAGTGTGCTTTGTCTGCAGACCTCCTTAACCTGCTCCTGGCTTCAGATGGACTTCGATACTGTTTCTGCTTGGATTTTCCAGAGTCGGTGAGCTCTAAGCTCGACCAGGTGTTCCCTTTCACTCTGCTAAAGAGGGTACCAGGGCTGAAATATATCCCAGGGTCCTTGGCAGAGAGAAGAGCCTCTGAAAGCAGCAAGTAAGTACAGGAGTACCTGTGAAACACCTTGGAGGGGAATTTTGAGGTGTAAGTAGAGGTGCAAAATCACCTTTAAAAGCTGCACTGTGCCTGCTGAGTTCCTATAGAGGGTGTTAATGGGAGCAGAGTCACCCATTGATGTTACACTGGTGACATGACTGGGACTAATAAATTATCACACATTAGCTGAACCAGGTCTTTAGTGAAAGCTAAATGGAGGTGAAAGACCTCTCCTTTGCTGCAAGGGCAATGTGTACACATGGGAAGATATTGCAGCTCTGGCTGACATGAAAGTTAAGTTGTGCAATTCTGCCCTAGCATTAGGATTTAAGGCATTTGTTCCTGGCTCCCTAGGGTGTGATCCTTATCTTTATTTGCCCCACCTCTCCTCCCAGGAATGCTGTGAAGTGAGTTGTGTCCAAAGCCATGTAGGAGCAGAGCACTATAGATTAAGGATGTTGCTTACAAAGTTCAGTGTGGAACTTTCAGTGCATGTTTTCAGCATCAAGGCAAGGTTGCTGTAATGAAAAGAAACCTTGGGGCTGACATCCAGGAATGGTTTAAAGTTTGTGTATATCACAAGTCCTGAGAACTCACTTGTATTCTAAACAGCTTGGAAATGTAGGTCAAATATTTACCTATTCTAAGTTGTCATTTCAGTTTCACAGAGGAAGGATAGTTTTTCTGTTAAGGGTTAAATTCTATGCATTGTTTAAGCCATCAGCTTGCTGTAAAGCTTCCTGTGAAGTTGGAGCATTCCCAGGTGTTTGCATTGCTCTTACCCATGGGAAACCATAAAACAAACCCTTGCCTGCAGCAGGAGTGTCCCCCAGGTCCATCAGGGCACTCAGGTGTGTGTGTGCAGGGGAGGCCAGGCAGATCGAGCAGCATTTCTGTTTTCATTCTCTCCTTCCTCTGCAAGTGCAGCATTTGTGGGGGGGAGCTGTCTCTCTGCATGCTGAGCCTGTGTCAGTATCAGCCCAATCGTGCTGTGCACAGCACCTCAGTCCTCTGTCTAAACCTGCTGCCTTTGGTGAGCAGGTCTGTGACATAGACTGTTCCGACACAAAGGTATTTGCATGAACATTTGATTATCAAGCAGGGCGTGGGAAGGTGTTTCTAGGATGCTTCCACTGCTGCAGCTAAATTTGCATGTCTGTGTCTTAGATACAACTTCTGTATGTGTTTCTGGAGTTTTATTTTGATTAATTTGATCCTTATTCCCAAGCAGGAGCTCTTAATAGTTTGGAGCTTGTTTTAATTTTAAATTTTCATAAGATTCAGGCATCAACTTGCCACCAGACAGGAGATATTTCTAGGAGATCCAGGCTTTGGCATCATGTTTGTGTCCACAAATGAAATGAAATAAAAACCCAACCCAAAATCAAACCCACACTTCAAATCATCAAAAAGAAAATCCAAGCCCAAAACCCCCAGCATGAGCCAGTCTCATTCCTGC